CCCCCAATATTTACAAATAGTCCCAGGGCTAAACTTTCCCATGGCAGTCAAAGAGGCCCACCCACGTCCTAAGACAAAGCTATAAAAATCATAAACTAATTGACACCATAATTAACAATAACAAATAACAATACATATTAAAAACAAACAAATGTGCAGACAGTCTGTTTCTGGGTATTTCATTTGCATTCTACATGACATCCAGTCCAGTGTGTGAAGCCATGACCTCGGCACAAGCCACCTCTTTGGCTGCTAGAGGTGAGATGACCGGGTGTTGGTGTGGTCGTTTCGACCTCTGGCCGTTGTGGTCGAACGCGGAGGTGAACCACCATGATCCAGAGACCTCGGGTGTGATGGATGCTTCGAGCGCAGAAGGCAAGAGTCCTGCAAGTGTGAGGTTTGGTGTGCTTGACCCTCTCGAAATGGGCAACTCGTCGGGGGAAACATATGCTTAAAACGTAGAACTGTAGTTTTCATGTCTTTTCCTTTTTTCGGTTTTCCCAACAACTCAGGGGATGGATGTCTTCAATCTGGAAGGTCCAGAGTCTGAACTTTGATACTCTACCATGCAGATGCAGAGGCCACGAACGTAGGATTGCTTAGGATTTCTAGACCTAGCACATGCAGGCCCTCATAGGCCCTCATTCCATTCAGTGGGTTGTTTGGATGTTGGAGACCTCGCAGCTAGAAAGATCCTTTGGGGGACCTGCATGTCCACCTATTGTTGGGAGTGTCCCTGCCGAAAGGGGCACTTGCTCTCGTCTCAAGCCACCAATCGTCAGCGGTTCTGAGGTGGCACGCCTTTGCCCGATGTGTCTGGGCGGCATCATGCACCTGTTGACAGGAGAAATACCAGAGCAGGTCGGAAAGAAAGTATAGTACCCCGGGTGTGTTTTTTTGTTCTTTTTGGTGAGGTGAGTATGTGTTAAACCTCTTGTTTGGTTCCTTGGTGCGTTGAGACACGTCGCACAAGACTTAGCAAGCAACGGCTTCCACATTTTCACACCGTGTGTAAGTGTAAGCTGGCGAGATGGACTCCCATTTGCTCCAGCTGATCGAAGCTACGGATGAGCCGCACGGTTCGAGTCGGCTGCCCAAGGGGCAGGACTTACTCACCGCTTGGTCAGGTGGCACTCAGGGAACTGCAGATCCCACATGCATTACCATGATGCGGCTTGGGGCGTGCTTAGGGCCACCGAAATTGCGACACATGTTGGGCATTAGAAAGCGGCCACACTGTGGAGAACCGACCATGTCCTTCAGGCACAGTCCAGGACTACTTCGCTTCAGATGAGTTTGGAGAGAAGGAAATGTCGATCCTATCCTGTCATCCTTTTGCTGTCCCGGACGAGTCTGAATTTCGACGGCCACTCGGCCGATTGGTGCCACTCCGCACTCCTCCACTCAACTCAGGCGACGACGGTGCCGGTGTCGCGCGTCTCCTGCGGCGCCCTCTACCGCGCGTGGACGCCGTCCAACGTCGCTGCGGAGTATGCGAAGATCGACTTGGAAGGCAACGGAAGGCGTCCGTCGACGAGGAGGGAAAGCCCGGCCTGGCCGGGCTTTTGGTGCTCCGTTGTGTTCGGGTCTGGGATAGCATGTGGCAGAGGAGGAAGTCTCAGATTGACATGCAGGCGAGTCCAGACTTAGAAGGAAACTTGGGGATTCCTATGGTCCCAAGTTAATTGTCCATGTGCAGAAGAGTGTTTGAGTGTTTGACGCCGTGCAACGTGCACAACTATTCCAACATCAGATTTGCAAGTTAAATTGAACTTCTACCTTGAACATTGAAGTCAACACCCCAATACGCCCTGAATGAGTTTGAACATCACCTTGGAGCAGGTTGATCTCCGTTTTCGCTACAACACTCCGCAGAACTGTTTTGTAGTTCAGCGGACTCGTTCATTTTGAGGGTCCCCCACATGGAGAGTTTATTACACAGGGAAGAGGGTCACTGTTTTGCAGATCCCACCTGCCATTCACAAAACTGCACCACAGTTCTTTGTTGCTGATCACCATATGCATCACCATCATCATCCAATTATGCGTGTTTGCTATGTGTTGCTTATGTTTGCTGTCGTTATAGTGAGAGATATTGAAGGTCACCCAACAGTTCATTATAGTGAGATATAACAATGGTATTTCAACACAGCTTTGGCGACTATTCCTCCTGGAATGCTACGTGGCTACGTGAGTTTCTCAGAGGAACCCAAATCACCTTGTAGCCCAAGATCCCAAGATATCCCAAACCTTCCAGAGGCTGTTTACAGCCCCAGCATGGGATCCAGTCCAGTCACCCTGATGACTACCTCCGATACGGCTCGACTCGGTTTTTCGCGGCTCGGGAGGCTCCGACCTGGATTGCCTTGGCAGCCTTTTGCGGAACTCCTCGAAGCTACCACGCTTCGTGTCGATGGAGGCGTTTTTGTTCGGGGTGGAGGAGGAGGAGGAGGAGGGCGTTACACACGGAGGTGAGGTTCCTGCGGTTTTGAATGGTTTTTGCATGTTAGGAACTTTGTTGGTTGCAACATGTTTATTCCTTGAAATTCTTGCAAGCTTGCTGGCTGATAGCGTGAGTGTTCCCGGATTGCGCAAAAACTGAGCTCCAACCTACTTCGAAACGTTCATCACTTGGTTCGTTTTCCCCAGACACTCCATGTATAGCATACTTAGGGGTGGTTGACCTGGGGTCCATGGGGCGGCATATGTTCCAGTCCCATTATATAGTCGTGTTTGGGTTCGTTTAAGTTTAAGGGATCCTTACGAGAGGATCCTAAGCTCTCGCGTTGCTTGGTGGAGGTGAAGGGCACCCAGCCACACCTAACCGCCGGAGGTGAATTTGGTGGAGGTCAAGGGGAAGCTCATTAAAGAGGCTGGGGCGAGCAACTCCCATAGTGAGTGTGATTCATTGTCCATGCGCAAAATGTCACACAGGAGGAGGAGGATTGCTTCCGAGCAGCTTTGGTACTTTGGTGAGAGAAGTACTGTTAGTGCTTGCATGTATCGAGTATTTACATCTGTCGAGTATTTACAGATATCTACTGTATACAACATGTACCAGCACCCTCCAACAGGTCACCACCTGCGACTTTTAAGTCTGCAAAAGCCACCAGGGGAGACCTCTTGGAGGTTCCTGGTATATGTTATATACTGTCGGTCTTTTCCGAGTCTGAGTGGGCATGAGGACAACGACTGATCAAAAGGTGGCAGCTACTAGAGCGTTGCTACAGGAGACGATGAAGCTGGCCATTGAGCTTCTCAGCATGCTGCAGGGCTCCTATTGCGAGGTCGGGTTCGTCCACCGATCGGTAGAGTGTTGAACTGAATCGAGTTGCATCATTTGTTCCCGGGATATGAGATACTTAACTTAGCTGCACGGATGACGGAGTGGCTTGTGGTTTGTGACCTCCAATGTTTCCGACTTAGCTACCTAGGTAGCTGTTTTCATCTGCCAAGTAGTGGGCTTCTTACGTATGTTCCGGCTGAAAAAGAGGGAAGGAGGGGCTTTCACCAAACTTGGAGAGGACTCAAGAGTCCACGAGGCTGGATTTTTGGAGGGCTCGCTGACCCTGGACTCGGGGGTCAGCGTGGGAAAGACCTGCAAAGAGAATACCTCCGGAAGTGGGCCCTCCCGGCGCCCATCCCAGTCCCACCTTCCCAGAACTTGTTTGACCAATCAATGACACATCCCTTCCCGGGCTCCTATGAAAGCACCTGCCAGTCTTGCAGTCTTGCGTACTTCACAGGTCACTACACCGTCTTTTTCCCTACACAACTCAGCACATCCCCCGACTTTCTTTCATGTTCTTTCTTAGTGCGTCGCATCTTGCAACTCAGCCCCTAGCAGACCATGAATTCCTTAATTTGGCGACGGTGCAATTAAAAAAGACACCACAGAAAAAGTATTTTTGTTGTTTTTCCGGAATGCGTAGCGAAGGGTTCTCGTTTAACTCTGGGGGTAGAGCCTTGTTCGCGACCCATGGTTTCTACATTCGCAACCGTCCGCAGGTGTTCGCAGTAGGGCGCTAAGGCGCTGCCATTGGGGGAAGCTTTTGGAGAGGGTTTCGGATGGAAACGTGTCAGATTCGTGTGAAATAGCGAGGTATCGTGTGGAAATGTAAGATGTTGAAGTTGGAGGATGATTTCACTGCGCATGTGCAGCGTTTTGTGAGATCCGCAGTTTGCTGCGCAGTTCCATTGGGATTAGCGTTTGGAGAGTCGTGTTTTTGGGGTGTTGGATGTGGCCGTGCCATTGGGATTTGCGTTTCAGGGTGTGGCATCGAAGCTCTGTTTTCGTGACAAGTCTCAGCTGAAATGGCGATTTTGACTTTTGGAGGAGGTGTCGTACGAAACGCTCGGTTGGAGACTTGACGCGTAACTTTTGGAGGAAGTCTCGCATGAAGCGCTCGTCTTCTAGTGTGTGGGCAGACCGTGTGGCGACGCGACGTTCGTGATGTGAGATTTGCGCAGCCTTGGTGGAAAGTGCGTTTGCGTGGCGCCGTGCCACTGGGGAGCGCGAAACATGCTGGCGTAAACACGGCGTGTCGCTGGTGAGCGGGATGATTTGTGGTATCAAGAGTGTCCCAAAAGAGTGCCCCGCAAGAGCTTCCTACAAGAGTGACCCACAAGAGTGTCCTACAAGAGTGTCCCAGATAGAGTGTCCCGTATGAGTGTCCCACAAGAGTGCCCCACAACCGTGTCCCACAAGAGTGTCTCACAAGAGTGTCCCTTAAGAGTGTCCCACAAGAGTGTCCTATAAGAGTGTCCCACAAGAGTGTCCTACAAGAGTGTCCCACAAGAGTTTCCTACAAGAGAGTCCCACAAGATTGTCCCACAAGAGTGTCCCACAAGAGTGCCCTACAAGAGTCCTACAAGAGTGTCCCACAAGAGTGTCCCACAAGAGGGTCCCACAAGAGTGTCCTACAAGAGTGTCTCGTATGAGTGTCCCACAAGAGTGTCCCACAAAAGTGTCCCACAAGAGTGTCCCGCAACAGTGTCCCACAAGAGTGTCTCACAAGAGTGTCCCTTAAGAGTGTCCTGCAAGAGTATCCCACAAGAGTTTCCTACAAGAGTGTCCCACAAGAGTGTCCCACAAGAGTGTCCCACAAGAGTGTCCTACAAGAGTGTCCTACAAGAGTATCCCACAAGAGTTTCCTACAAGAGTGTCCCACAAGAGCGTCCCACAAGAGTGTCCCACAAGAGTGTCCTACAAGAGTGTCTCGTATGAGTGTCCCACAAAAGTGTCCCGCAACAGTGTCCCACAAGAGTGTCTCACAAGAGTGTCCCTTAAGAGTGTCCTACAAGAGTATCCCACAAGAGTTTCCTACAAGAGTGTCCCACAAGAGTGTCCTACAAGAGTGTCCCACCAGAGTGTCCTACAAGAGTGTCCTGTAAGAGTGTCCCGCAAGGGTGTCCCACAAGAGTGTCCTGCAAGTGACCCACAAGAGTGTCCTACAAGAGTGTCTCACAAGAGTGTCCCACAAGAGTGTCCGACAAGAGTGTTCCATAAGAGTGACCCACAAGAGTGTCCCACAAGAGTGTCCTACAAGAGTGTCCCACAAGAGTGTCCCACAAGAGTGTCCTGTAAGAGTCTTACAGTGTCCTACAAGAGTGTCTCACAAGAGTGTCCCACAAGAGTGTCCGACAAAAGTGTCCCATAAGAGTGACCCACAAGAGTGTCCTATAAGAGTGTCCCACAAGAAGTGTCTCACAAGAGTGCGTGTAAGAGTGACCCACAAGAGTGTCCTACAAGAGTGTCTCACAAGAAAGTGTCCCATAAGAGTGACCCACAAGAGTGTCCTATAAGAGTGTCCCACAAGAGTGTCCTACAAGAGTGCCCCACAAGAGGGTCCCACAAGAGTGTCCCACAAGAGTGTCCCACAAGAGTGTCCTACAAGAGTGTCCCACAAGAGTGCCTACAAGAGCGTCCCAAAACAGTGCCCCGCAAGAGCTTCCTACAAGAGGACCCACAAGAGTTTCCTACAAGAGTGTCCCACAAGAGTGTCCCAGAAGAGTGTCCCACAAGAGTTTCGTACAAGAGTGTCATTTGGACATATGTAGCTTTTCGAACGTGTTTGCATTCGGGTTCGTGGGCTCCATCTTGTTTTTTTTTCACAAAAATGTTTTTATATATTTATAACATAACCATAATTTAAAGACTCTTTGTATAACAGCATTAAACTAAAAACAACGTCAACGGGTACTCGGGTACTCTTCCCGACCTTCCACTGTCGCCTTCCCTGGTTTTCTTACGGCATCTCGCGCGTCGCGGCGTTTTTGGGTTCTGGAGCTCGGGGGCCAAACTGGGAGGAGATGATTTTCCAACCATAGCAATGGTTTTAGGTGAAGAGATGATCTCGTTTTGCTGGCCAAGGTCCAGCAAAACCCTGAAACCTGTTCATCTCAGCCATACTGGTACCTAGTCTGATGCCCCTGAGATCAGCCCGATGAGCCCCCCGACTCTGACTCTCAGCCGTGAGGCCAAGCTTTGCCGGCAGCATCTCTACAATCTCCGCCAGGTTCCAGGACCAAGCCCCTTGTGGATAGTGATGGTCGATTATATAGTTAGTTTGTTTGGGGAGGGGGTGGAAGAAATTTGGTCTTCCCACCAGGACCAGTTAGCATCACCGAGCCAGTTGTTAAAGGTTTTTGTTGAGGGTGAAGCCGGGGAGAGTTCGTGAGGTCATCAAGCAAAGTGGACGAAAATGTGTGAATTATTTTGAAAGTTGCGTTCGAATCTCCAGCAGGCAACATTGCTTCTTGGATACCTTCCAGTTTCAGGAACCAAAAATAAGGGTTTTTTGTTATTGTTTGTTCATGGTTTGGGGCACGAGAGACGTCACCTGAGTGAGAGTGAGCCAATTGCGTTTGATCTGAAGGAACGCTTCGGAGAACATGCACCCCCCCTTCTGAAAGAGCGGGCCATTCCACGGAAGCAACATGAAACAACCAACAGCCACGCCGTGCTCGTTTTTTTTTTGCCAGGTTCTCGTTCGTCAATTAATTAGGCCATATAGCTCAATCCCAAAAGCCACGATCGTCATGTCAAGGCGGTGGAGGTTGCGATCTGCTCATGGGCGGGTTGAGCAGTCGACCTTCAAAGTCCACTTGGATCTCCATGACAGAACTGGGTGTCAGTTGGGTGTCCGGGTCGTCGGACGAGCCACAACTGGGGATGTGTCTGCAGGACGCGGCTTAGCATCGCGCTTGGGGTGGGGTGCCAGTGGACCATGGGGCGACTTGGAGTGGGCGCGAGATCTCGTGGGAAGAGCATTCTTAAGGCTTACAATCGTTTCAGAGTAGATGGCACTGGCAGCCACTGGCACCCCTAAGATGTCCTTTAGATAGGGGTCCATATAGACCACTCAACTTGGGGATTGTGTCATCTACTCTGAACCCACTGTAAAGATGTTCAAGAAATTGTGGATTTGGATGACATTTGAGGACGGACCTGACACCTAGTAGGTTCGACAGATCAGAAGCTCGCAGTATCGCTCAACACCACTCAAAAAGACCTTGAAGAGTGATGGCACGTGGGCGACAGCTGGGCGTGCGATGGGGGGGGGCGAGGAAAGCCGGAGTTCCTCCACTTTATGGCTGTGATCATCGTGTCAGCATCCACTAGCCATGTGATGTTCCTTTAAAGGGATTCGATTCGGAAGACTGCATATCATATAAATGGGTGGGGTTTCAGAGAAGGTGTGGTGTTGTCGATATGTTCGATGAGCACAGCTAATCAGCTAGCAACTGCGATAGCCAGACTTAAATCCAGAAGCCAGTCGCATCCCAAAGGTACACAGGTAACATCTGGAAGTCCATGAGTCGCGATGTCCGGATGAGGAAGGACGTCCTTCCCCATCTCCGGATGTCCTGCCATGGCTCCTTCAGTTTCCTTTCATTTGTGCCGCTTCTTCAGTTGCTCCTGGCCGCAAATCCCAGGTGAGCATCAAAAGCCGCTCACGAACAGTTTGAACAAACTTGTAAACTCCAACTTGCCCGCGGAAGCCAAAACTGCAGTCGTGGAAGCTTGCGGGAGCCACCATGTAAGCAAGTATAAGATACAGTACAAGTATACATGGAGAAAAATCACCACCGCTGAGGTTGAAGCTTTGTGGAAGTGTAATTATGCTTCTTTACAATATAATAAATGCCTCTAATCACTGCTAAGGAGATTAATCTAACCTATGAGCACTTTTGAGAGTCCTACGTCGTCGCTTCTCAGGTGACCAGGCGGTGGATTGGCGACGGGGAGAGTGCCTTGGGTCCCATGGGACAGTGGGGAGCCACCCAAGAAGTGGGACTAAGTGTCACTGAGCTACTAGGGAATTCCAGAGGTCCCCAAATCTGTGTTCAATACGGTTTTGTATGGTTTTGTTGAAGTATAGTTTTTGGTGTTTTTGTTTTTGAAAATACATTTATACATATTAGATCACATTATCAGTACAAAGAACCAGCATCAAATATTTGGAAAAACAATATACATATAGATTTGGCAGATCTATGAGAGTGGCGTTTGGGGCATGTTTGGTGATTTACACTTGAGGGGGTGTTTGTTTCAACGGGAAACAGCCAGTGACCGGAGCGAGGCATTGGGCACCTTTGGAGCTGGTCTTGTCTGAGCTTTTTGCTGCCAGCGTGCTCTCCAAGACGCGTGCCGCACACCGCAGACCGCCATGGGAGCCATGCACATGGCACACTTGGGTCCGACTTGTGGTTCTCAAGGGACAAGTGCAACGACTTGTCTTTCAGGTGATTGAATCCAGGGTGGACTTGGGTGGAGTTGAGTGGACCTACCGAGAGAATTGAGAGATGTGGTAAGCTCTTCTTGCAGTCTGTTGGATGGTCGATATGGTGCATTGGAAGGTGGTCATGGTCAGAATTGGGTCCCCAAAAAATATCCATGGGACATTCTTGGAATTGGATGTTGGGAGTCTTTGTTGGGTCAGCCAGATTCCGTCAGCCAGATTCGCTGCTCTTCAGTGCCAACCTGCCATTCTTAGGATCTCTCGTGAGTGGTTTGATCTTCATTTGCGTCGTTGCTGAGGCGGGACCGATCGACCCCCAGCACGGCTGGGGGACGGAAGTGGATGAGGAAATGAGCCCCCCCATGAGCCTCCACTGTAAGTACCTAGAACCTGAATGACCCCTATTTTGGACCACCAACCACTCAAAATAAGGTCTTTTCCTATCAAAACAGAGGCCAAATGGGTTCTAGGTATAGCTTACAGGGTAAAAAGATCCCACATTCCCGGCGAAGCACCCGTCATTTGATCGGGACTTGGCCCCTCAAAACGACTTGGGGTTGTGCCCTGCCCTTGTGGTTGGGACCCAACCAGCGATGGTAGCTAGGGTCAAAGTGGTGCAGTGATGTGAAGCATGTGTTTGTCTTTGTTGGGTCAATTAGTGCTTTGACAACCACATGATAGCCTAGCAAACCTTAGGGATCGCAGCCACCCTGTGAACGTTGTAGCACGCAGACCGCATGAAAACGCCACAAGGGCCTTTTTTTGGGACGTACCTAAGGTCCGCCCACGTTTGCCGGTGCGACAAGTACCTCATTCAATGTTGGATGAACAGCCTTCTTCCGGGTTTTATTGGAAGAAAACCTAGCAATGGACCCTTAGCTCAAGAGGATATAGGTCATCCAACAGCATTTTGCACAAGACGATATGGCAATCATCCAGAGATACTGTTGATGGACAAATCCTGCACCGCTTTGAACTCCGTGTTCTTGCCCTCCTTCTCCCTCGTTCAACTTGAATGTCCGAACTCCTGCACCACCTCCTCAGAGGCGTCGCATGGCGTCGCGCCCACATTGAATGAGGGTTTTCTTCGGGGTTGCATTGAATATGCAGTGAGGTGGTGCGGGATTTTGTCCATCAACAGTATGTTGCAATGAAAGGTATAGACCTTCTCCTCAAACCTACTACGAAGCATGTTCATTAATTGCTTTCATGTTGGTCCGCCATCAGAATTCACCAGCACAAGAGCTGTAAACATCATTTTAGCTGAGCAAACTTCCATTCTTTGGGGATGGTCCTTGTAAAAGAGTTGATCAACTCTGCTGGTATCGGAGGACAAATGCGGCAAAGTCGCATGGAACCTCCGGTGGGTCCACAGATTGTTCGAAGGTTTCGTTGCTTCCCCTGCACCGTGATGCGGATGTGTCCAGGCGTTCCCCTCGAGGGCGGAAGTTGTCGAGTTTGGGTGGACAAAAAGAGCTGCGTGGCACCCCGCGCGTGTGGAACAGTGGGTGAATTCGGATGAATGTGATGAGTGGGCTGGTGGGTTTGCGCAGTGGCACACTGGTTAGCAGTTTTACCTTTTGGTTGATGAGTCATGAGAATCATGACCTGTGTTGGGCTTCAGTGTGTGCTGAGTGCCGATTGAACGGTGGAAGCCTTTGGATGCCCGCCGGTGGAAGCTTGTCGTTTGATCGAGGACCTATTGACCAGTCGGAAAGCCGAGAGATACAGAATCCCACTCCCAAAAACCAAGAATTGCGCACACAGAAAAGAAACGTCGGGTTCAATGATGTTGTCACTGTGGGGCCTTGGTTTTTTAGATTTCTCGCACCCAAGTGCAAGTACCACCATCACAAACCTGTCGTCCCAAAGCAAACTATAACTAGTCAAACTAGACTAGACTAGACTTGAACTATTGGCCATCAAGAAGCAATGGGAAAATGGAATGGGTCCGAAACGTGGTTTTGCTTGGGGTGTTGTTTGTTTCCTATTCCCCCTGTCGGACTTGCTTCCGAGCATGAAAACTGCCATCTCCTGCGACAGGACCTTCGCGGCGAATGCATCGAGAAGGCGCGGTTCGTCCATTCGTCGCCTTGAGAAGCAGGACATGATCACTTTCCTGTCAGGAGAAGCGGGTCACCTGCCCCAGCTTTCTTTTTTTTCAGGGCATTGGTGTCACCACTCAAAAGCAACAGGTGGAACAAGGTTCACTTTTCTTTCCGAGACCGAGAGGGTCTGATGCCAACAGGAATCATACAAGGGGTACTTGTTAAGGGATGGAGGAGGAATTGGCCCCGGACCCCTTAGGCCCTGGCCAAAGATTTAGAGCGGAAAAGACGGGGAGGTGAGAAGGCTCCTTCAAAGAAGGTGATGATATCAACAAAAACAGATTTCATGGGTTCTTATATATCTTATATGCTCTTATATAAGATATATATATAATTATATATATACATTGTTTTTGTTAACCACATGTTTTTGGAACATGCAGTTTTATTAACCAACGCTTTCAACTTTCCACGAGTCGCATCCAGTCGATTGGATGTGGGTCGGCTGAAAAAGGTGCGCAGTGGAGTAGTGTGTTGTTTTTGCGTGAATCCAAAAACCTGAAACCGTGGCCTTGACCCATGAGGTCTAGGTGCAAATACAGCTGGTGAGAGCTCGCCTAGCCCCTAGGCCCTAGCTATGATGTTTATTGGTTCTTCAAGACCATCTCATGCCTCTCCTTGGTCCAGAAGTCCTTTGGTTGAAAGTTGAAACCCATGTTACTTCAGAGTTTAATCTTTCTGGCACAGCTTTTGAGAAACCCCGTCCCATGATCGGAACCACGGTAGTTCTAACGATGTGGCCACACGGTGTGGTCCAGGAACCTCCAGTCAAGGAATCTCGTTCTACTCGACTCTTCGACCTGCTCAGATAAACCAAATTTCACGATTTTAACTGGGAGCAAGAATGCTACTAGGAGCAAAGGGCATCGCTACTAGGAACAAGAAGGTACTAGGGGCTCCTGGCCGTACTACTAGGAGCGATCGGACGCCACTAGTAGCAAGAATGCTACAAGAGACCACTGGAACCGGTCGCCTTTCGACCGTGTCCTCATTCATGCGAACTGGATGTCCGACCAGGATTCGTCCGGGCGCTCCATTGTCCATACCCTGGTGAGGCCCTGGTGGGGGCCCTGGTCCAGAAGACTTGGGTTTTGTAGATAGGAGCCCCTCTGACGTGGATCGTAAGTCCTTATTACATGCTTGCACCTTCTTGGAGTGTCCAACTACCCTCCTCACCACCTGCGCAGTTCAAATCCAAAGCCTGCCACTACCTGCTTTGTGCCCTTGAGGCCTCAACCCCTTCAAGCCCACAAGTACCACCTCAGCCCTCCGTAGTGGAAAGCTCACCAAATTTCAAGTCCGACCTGCAGTGTGTATTTCACGCTCTTCGGGTTCTTCACTGTCCAGCAGTGTATGAGGGGTATTGTGTGAGTGTGTTTGGCTAAGGGGAAGGTTCCTGCCTGGCGCGCCAGGCAGTTCTTTCTCGGATTTTGCTTTGTTTTAAAACCTGTGTCCGCTTGGCGTGCCTGGCTGGGACACCCTTCTTCGCCCTTCTTCGCCCACCAAGGTTTAGCCCTTCGCTCTGTCAAAGACAGCGAGGAACCGGATGGGTGGGACGGTGAGGGAAACGCTGGCAGGGTGGGATGCGGAGATCAGCGCCCTGTAACTTGGTGAAGGGTGTATATTATATAGTGGATGGCGTTTTTACTTTTACGAATGACTAGGACCGGGATTCTAGTCAAGTGGCGAGGGAGATCAAAACCCCCAGGCTTGCATGAATCCAATTGTAGCGACATTGTAGCGACATATAGTTAGTCAGACTTCAATAAATGTTATCGACTGTCGCTGGGAAGATTGATCCAAGTGAGGACTGTGGTGAAGCAACCGATTCAGGATGGAAACTGAAGTTTTATACTACTGCTGATACTTTTTGAAGAATAGGCATTTGGGTGTTTGGTGGGCTATCTTCCAAGAGTCTTGAGGTTGTGGAAGGTTGGACACCCATTCTGTAACTTTCTGAATTGGCACAGGGGCTCTTTGGATTGGAAACCATGGGCTATTAGCGCTTAATAAGACACTAATAAGAGTCTATCAATGCAGGTTGAGATTTGATCTACATGTGGCGGGGGGAGGCCCATGCAGGGGACCATCCAATGACTATGAGCTAAACAACGAGAGGGCCGTTCCAATTCCTTTGACAACCCTTCGGCACGGCAAAATTGGGCTGAACCGGCCATACACCAGTCGGTCGGTGATGGTCGGTCGCCGCAAAAAAGGGGCGGTCCATCGTGGGAAGAGGAGCTTCCACATTCCACATGCATTTTTCATCACCAGGTGACCAGCTTTGACATGCCGCGCGCGTTGCGCGCGTGCAGGCAGCTCAGAGGCCGTAGGGCCTCAGGGTCCTCAGGGTCTGGGTGATGCTGCTTGGCCAATCAAGCTTTGAGGACTCGGCCGAGCTCGCATCTTTGTGAGCAGTGGAGTCTACTAAGGAGATCGGACAGGGCAGAGCACTGCTTTGGCAAATCACCCCAAAAACCATCCAACACACTTCGAACTTGGGTTTTCAGTTAGTTCAATTGCCACGATGGGAAGGAAGGCGATGGAACAGCAAGGTGAAAGGGTCCGGTGACTTGAAGTGTTAAACATTGTTTCACTCGCACTGCACAAGCGGCTGAAAATGCATAACGCTGAAAGTGGCTGAAAGAAAATGGTTTGAGGGGTAAGTAGCATGAAGAACCATGGAAACAAAAAGAGCACATTGGACAGCGTGTTCAACAGTTCCAAATTGTTGCAGGTACACACGGGTGATCAATCCGTGCTTCCCACTCCAAGGCATAGCTTCGTTGCACTGAGTTTGCCAAGGAGTGCTCAGTGCCCCTGCTTGTGAGACTCTTGTCAAAGTGAAAAACGTGAAGGTGGGGAACCCTTAGAATCAGGGTGTGACACACACAAGACGCCGTGATCGGCGCACAGAGCGAGCGGTGGAAAACGCGGGTCTTTTTTCTCAAAAACCGCCTGCACGCGTGCAGGTCATGCCCTTTTTGGGCGTAGAGGTTGACCAAGGCTCTGAAACCTGAGATCGTATAAAGTGAAAAAATTAAAAGTTGAAAACTCAGCATGCAATGTGGTCTCGTGAAAGTGAGCATGCATGCGTTGATCATCGGTCAAACAGCTGCGGGTAAAGAATTAAGGAAAAAGACACTGCACTACATGAACGAGGGTCAGGGCTTTGTGGGTGATCTTCCGTCGCTTATAGCCCGGCGGCTCGAAAATCAGGAAATTCAGAGATGGAATTGAGTAAAACAGTTATGAAAAAGGAGGGTCGGTGATTTCCAGTATGAATTCAGCGCCTCCTTGCGGAGGATCACACCCAGTACCCGAGTGGGAAGACTGAGCGGGTCACACTTCGAACTTGGGTTTTCAGTTGGTTCAATTGCCACGATGGGAAGGAAGGCGATGGAACAGCAAGGTGAAAGGGTCCGGTGACTTGAAGTGTTAAACATTGTTTCACTCGCACTGCACAAGCGGCTGAAAATGCATGACGCTGAAAGTGGCTGAAAGAAAATGGTTTGAGGGGTAGGTAGCATGAAGAACCATGGAAACAAAAAGAGCACATTGGACAGCGTGTTCAACAGTTCCAAATTGTTGCAGGTACACACGGGTGATCAATCCGTGCTTCCCACTCCAAGGCATAGCTTCGTTGCACTGAGTTTGCCAAGGAGTGCTCAGTGCCCCTGCTTGTGAGACTCTTGTCAAAGTGAAAAACGTGAAGGTGGGGAACCCTTAGAATCAGGGTGTGACACACACACACACACACTCCTGGAGTGAAGGATGTGAAGGGTTTGGCGGATTTGGCGGTGGCAGACAGAGCGCAAGTACTGTCCAGAGAGCAACCCACGTGTTTCCATTAATTTACCACAGGTGTGGGACCTAGGGTTGCAAGGATGTTAGAAGTGCATCAAAGTGCGTGCAATTGAAGTTGTCAATAACCTGGTATGAACACCTTGACAAAGCTTGATACGGAGAATTTGTCCTCAACCCGGAAGGGAAAAAGACAGGGAGTGCTATTAGTACACCGCTTTGTCGAGCATCGTGGTCGTGGCGGGTTGGAGTCTAAGTCCAGACGTCTTTGGCCTCAGTCCAGCGGGTCGTGCTCCGCAGCTATGCTTTTGCTTGTGGCACAACCCCAAAGGGCATGTCCAAGCAACTGTACACCCAGAGTCAACAACACAAGTCACTGCACGACCTCCGCATGCAGTGGTCAATGGAGCCAGGTTGGTGCTGGAAGTGTCACAGACCCTAGTAATCTAGTATCACCTAAATTCCAACTCAGCAGAAGCCCCCACCGTGACTTGGTCATGGCTTGGTTTATAGGAATGCTGAGGAAATGGGTTAAACAACAAACAGGTAACGTGCAGGCTATTATTGGGCTGAAAGTAGACCGTGCAACTCTGAGTTCGATTGGTTGAGCTGCTGAACCAACGGTTCGTCAAATGACACGCGCCAGGGTCAGGGTAGCGTTTGTCTGACATCCTCTGAGGTGACGCTCTCCGGCTATCTTTGGCAGGCGGGTGGGTCGAACTGACCATGACACGGATGTCAACTCCCTCGCAGCTACGAATCACAGATGGGACGGGACATCGAATCCCTCAACGCCAGCAGAGATTGCGCAAACTGGAGACCTAGGTTGGAATGCTGTGTTGATGCACTTGCCGATCTCACGATAGTCATCACATGTTCCAACCTGAACCCGAGACATGGCGTGGGCGCATGTTCCGGGCCCCTGGGCCGGCCTCCTTCTGAAAGAGCCCGCTCAAGGAAATGTGTGATGAGGATCCGAATGGCACGTGTTTCACCAAAAAAAAAACGCTTTGGGAGGGGTGGGAGAGTGAGCGAGTGAGTGAGAGTGAGAGTGGGGGTGGGTTCAAGACCTTTCCCCACACTTTGCCCGCAGCATGTTGCTCACCTTGCCCGCACACGTGCCCAGACGAACGTGCCACGGCGACGGATCATCGCTCCACCCGAAGGGACCTTTGCAGGTGGTCGGGTGGCCAAGGGAAGAGTGGCCACCCTGAGGCAAGCAGCTGGGCCAGCGGCAAGGAGGGAGACCTGATAGGACTCGGAAGTGAGTGGTTTTGCTATGGCACCATATATTTGTTTAGTTTGTGCACTTAAACTACCATTTCAGCATGAGTTGGAGTGCGGGCGAACATGTTCAAGTGGATTCTGTTCACTTATGCTGGTTTACGGGAGAAAAAAAACTATGGAGACGTGTCAGGGTCCCATTCAGTAATATAGGCTCCAAGGGCAGGATGTTCAACACGGAGCCGCTGAGTCTATGAGTCTATACGATGGTTTGGTATGTTTCTAGACCGGTTTATAAGGGATTGGCTACTAAACCCTAAAGGATCCTAGAGGTTAAACCCTTAGCAGAAAGCATGGAAGCGGAAAAGCCTGGTTTCTGGAGGGGCCATTTTCCGCTCCTTGTTAAGTGAGTCAGAGTGTACCTTTTGTACCTTCTCAGTCCCACTGCAATCTGTCGCTGCTGGGGTGGACCAAGTGGTTGACGTACCCAGGTGCTCCATGGATGCAAATATCATGAAGCAACTTCTTCAACGTGACCATTTTTGGTGAGAGTATGGTCTAGAAATCTAGTCCCAACTGCAGCGGTAAGATGATGGGGCCTTTACGGTTGGGCTGGTCTCAAAGCCGGTTTATATAGTAACTCAAGACATTACGACTCAGCCCCAGAAGCGACCTTTTACAGGTCTAAGTGACCTGAAATCCATGAATGAAGATGTAGATTTAGCGTTTTGGAAGGTCATGGACAAAGATCATTTGAAGAAGAAGTAAGCGAGTGCTTCGGACTGTATGGTTTTACCTTTTGTCCTGCTTGCTGAATTTCTTTGTTCGGGAAGTTCTGGATTGGTTCGTTGTTTTGGTCATAGGCTTGTTGTGCCATTGTCCGGCAGTTTTTACTATTCAATTTTGACAAAGCCATTGCCATGAACTCCATGAGCATTGCACGGACACAACTTACAGATATAGAAAGCTTGATGGAAATCACCTGCAACTTCACAGATACCAACCACCGCATCAACTGTACAAATAGCATGAACTATCGCAATTCCCCGTGTATCCCATTCTTTTGGGGGTTCGTTTCAACTCCAAAAAAGCACATTCGACTCTGACAGAGTGACAGAGAGCTCCTGGATGCTCCCCATTCGGATCCATGGGATGTTGAAAGCCCCTTCGGAGATGTTATGGGAGGAAAGGCATTCGTGTGAACCACCAATTGGTTGGAACACCTGTTGTACAAACCGAACTCGGGCCAATCTTGTCAGGAATTGCAGGTGATCTCTCAGCAGCCTTGCTGACAAACTACTTTTTTGATAGAACCCACCCCAGGATTGGTGAACAACTACTCCTGTTTCTTGGTGACCAACTACTTGTTCATGATAGAAGACAACGGTTTGTTTCGCCACACAGTCCTTCCCAAGAAACCGTTTGTGGCTGGGCCAAAACCGCTGCGCTGGCGCTAAAACCGACCTTCCGCGCTTCGGGGAACGACTGGGCGCGATGGACACGCCGCAGCTGTGCTACAAGCTGGCGAGTGAGTGTGCTGCTTGGGCCGTAAGAGTGCTGAAATGTGATGCTGGCGTGCTTTGACCATCCAAGTGGCAGTGGATCATGGTTCTTTATTCAAGATTCAAGTTCCTTTTCAGGAGTTCCACCAGGCTTATAGGTTCCCTCACGTTGACGGTGGATGAATCAAATCCAGACTACCCGGATGGTCAAACATCAGCCTAGGCTGGAGATGGTTACAGTATTCAACGGGCAACAATACACGACGGGTGGACACAGGTGAAACTTGGAATCTGAAGGGGTCAACGGTCAGCTTATGATATACGACGAGGCTTATGAGGTCGATGTTGCAGTTTCTCATTTGCCAGGCCGGTTTTGTTGCAGACCTTACGGTGGCTGGAACGGTGGCTACTGGATTGATCTCAGGTATGCTAAAAAGTGACGCCAGGCACTAGGTAGTTTCAGATATAGGATGTAAATGGATGTAATATATACTTATAATTATTGGTATTATATATAACATATATTGTATGAATCTTGGATCAATTCAATCTGCCAAAGATGCGTGAGTTTCTTGTTTGGCCCTGTGTGTTGCTTTGAAGATCTAGCTTGGAGCTCTCTCATTTGGCCTGCTGGGGGACGGGCTTCCTTTGGTGGATGATTCCGAGATGCCGCGCCACCAGCCAATAGGATAATAGCCACTTGCCCACTGAAAGCCAAGATCTCAGAGAGAAGGACTCGAGAAAGACAGCTGGAAGACTATTGCTCCAGCATGCTTACAAAAAGGGTGGCAAGGAGTCAAGGCGCGAGGAGTCTGACTATATACACGTCCCGAACAGTCAGCCTACTTCAATGTTAACTGTCAGATTGAACATGACTGACGTGATGCCCCAGAGTCAAGACAGCTGATGCTTCACAGACAGCTTCCACATCGAATCTGGACGTCCGAACTCTTTCGAGATCAAGACGTCCGATGCGTTCCCATCAGAAATTTTCCGGCTGAATTCTTCCACCACCACCACCACCGCCACCAGCAGCAGCAACCTTTCCAATGGGTTCTGGCATACTTCATCTAAGGATGGACACATTCCACCATAAAAGCATATGTTGGCGAGATTGTTTCACTTTGACACCTGACATTTTTCCTTACCAATTGCAAGGGGTGTTTTGTTTGATCACAGGAACAAAAATAAGACAACAAGCAGAAGCAGCCATTTGCAGTACACAAAGGTCCCCCTATTTGTAGTACAAGAAAGTCCTATAGGTGTTTCTTGGCAATGCCCTTTTTCATCATGTTGTCCCACCGTGCCTTCAAACATCTCCACGCTGGTATAGCAACTGGCTGCAATCTCAGGTTAGAAGCTTCACTTTCGAGAACCACACCTATGTGGGCTGCACCACTGACACTGCGGACCACACGTATGGCCATCCCTGGTGTGCCTCGGGACGAACATGGACCTCCGGAACCATGAGGATCCGTGAGGGAGACAAAACGGATCAAGCTCCAATTCAGGTACCGGTTTGGCTCCGTGGTTGCTTTTGTTCCACTTTGGGCCCTTGGGCGCTGGTTTTCCCAGGCTTCACGTCTCAGTTTTGTGTGTTTCAGGTTGACCTCAGGTTGACCTTTGACCCTCGACGTCTCGAGCCAGGTTCATGGTAGACTCGACGTGTTGACGAAAGACCCTCGGAACAGTTCTGACTCTTGAAGAAGACCGGGTGCCCGGGCACCCGGTGTTCTTGAGGATAGCCTTCCAAGCAGGCCAAGCACGAGCGGCAGCCGTTCGTTCAGTCGACCGAAAGCACAGAACCGGTCTGTGCGGTCCTCCTCGGCAGGTTCCCACGTGGCTCACTTTGTGTGGAACCACTCGAAATGGAGCTACTGCTTACAGGTGAGGTGGTTTTGAGGACGTGTTGGGCCTGGAAGTGGGCAAAGACCATGTTTGTCGTGGAGGAAAAAAGGGCTTTCCAGGGGCCATGCAATCCACTTCCATGATTGGTGTTTTTGAAACGCATCGACCGGATTGAGTTGGCACATCTCATATGCCCAAAACAAAACACTGCCAAAAGTATCCACACACACATGGTCCATTGAAAGAAAGACGTCCGGCATCCGGCAAAGCACGTCTCCTTTGTATCCATGCAGTATATAATATGTATTATATAAATGACATTCATTGTTTCTTGGGGGGATTGCTTGATGTGGCCAAAGCTTAAGCCTTCTACCCCGTTGTGATACAACTCTGCGTGGCCTGCCAACAGAGAGGGTTGGAAATGTGGTCAGCACTTGGGTTCGGCTTAGAACAGAAACACCGTTCCGAGGAATTTTGCAGAGCGTTAATAATATATATATATAAATATATTGATATAAATGCCTTTATTCCTTTCAACAATGAGTAACGTACAGTTGGTTGTGCGTGATATCCAGTCAAAAGTGCTTCACTTGCCCAACACTGGTCGCCGAATGGCGAGTTCATGCGGTGCTCCGCCACAGGTGCCGTGCTCCGACACCCATGCCACGTTGTGTGCAGTGCATGATTGGTCTGAGAGACGGTGGCAGGATTGACACGTTTTGAGGGCCGGTCGGAACCCAAAGGATTTGAGGACAAGGAAGCAAGTCCATAGAGAATCAGGCTCCTTGGGACGAAATTGGTGTGGGCAGGGCGCCATTCTGAATGCTGTTTTGGCATCATGTACTTTGGTGGACACTGGATTTCGTGCAACACACTTAATTAAGGCACACATTGGGGTCCCCCCGCTCCGAACTGTTACAGTCCTTGCCACACGGGCATTTGGATTATCTTTGCGCTCTGCAGGCCTCCTCCCTTTGTATTCACCATCATCCACTACTCAGTCACTACTCAATACTCCTCTACTACACGGCCCTTGTAGGGTCCAAGGTACACAACATATGCTTTGGATAGCTTTGGAGGCGGAGGCCGCACAAGAGTTTTGATTTGTACGTAAGGGAAGGGGGCTAGAACATGACGGGTGCTTCGGTCTGATTTGGTCCTATAGTTACGTCTCATATCCCATTACCAGCAATAGCAGTCAGTAAAAGAGGATCACTATTTTGGGGAAGGTCTCTGCTACTCAATCATCCGCTGTTACTGAGGATTCTGCCATGGACATAGTCATGAAGAAATCAGACCCTGAGAAATTCCAGTCGAGCAGTGGCTCAATGATGTTCAAAGACCTTGGGGCTTTCCTTCCTGCACCACTTGAGTTTGAACAAGAGGCCCAAACTACATCAAACGACCATATCTTCCCCTTGTCAAATTAGATACTCGAATTATATGCAAACTCTATAGCCCAATATATTCAGGACCCTTCGACCCATGCTCCTGCTGATTCCTTGTTGCTGGTGTGCAGAGCACACACCCTGGTTCTGTTTCACCCGTGCGGCACTTCCCTTGGTCAAGTGGCGGATCGTCACTCCCTGCCAGGGCCGTTTGGCCGCTTCTCCGCACGTCCCACCTATTGGCACACGATAGGGCTCCCAAGATCCACCGGTTTTGGGAGAAGCGCCTTCAGACGTCCCGCCAGGTACACGCCCGAAGGCATGCGCCGCAGCGTTCTGTTGAACCTGATCTTTGTGGCGGTGGGCCTGCTTGTGGGGGGGAGTGACCTGGCCCAAAAGGGAGTCGACACATACGTTTGGCTGACGTGTTTCACCATCCCGAAACAGCTCTCGGGCCATCCCCTATCGGTTTTGGCATCCCGTTATTTTTTGGGCAGGGGGGCTGGCCCAAATTTACAGGTAGGGTACCAGACATGTTTCTGAATGGGTTTCAAGCTTTGCAGGTTGGATCATGGGCTTGGCAGTAGGCTTATCTCATAGATTTTACAGGGATGGAGCAAGGACATTCACGGACTGGGGTCGTTTCCAGCGCCAGGAGCAAAATCATCCCATACATTCTCTAGCAACTGCAGTCTAGAAGGTCTTCCAAAACAATCCGTGCTGCACTAGTATGCGCAAGCAGTATCAGCTAAGATGGATCCTGAATATTCACAAACCCTGACGTGGTGCCAGTGGTTCACTGGTCGCAGCTATGAACCGTGCTGAGTCTCGCACACCGTGCGAGCTGCCACGAGAACCATCGCACGACAACAGCCCTTGCAACAAAGATGCTTGGTTGTAGCTGGTGGGAGGCAAATGTGTGGCTTTTTACCAAGCAGAGCAAGTCAACGGACTGTATACCACGAGTCTTACACACATGGGGCGATCGAAATGGGATTGGTGTACAGTATGGAATTGTATGGAGTACTGACTGGTCACTCATATATTGATGTGTGTGTGATTGGAAGATGTGGAAATATGGAGCTACAAGAGCCATCAAGACGCGCATCATTTCTGCATGGTGATTTGATGGTGTTTTGTTTTATTCCCCACCTGTCCGGTGAGGGGGTTGTTATATAGATTCTAGATTTTAGAAGAAGATCACTCGAAGTAGAGTGACTCGTGTTTTTTTCCCACGGGTTTGCAATGTTGTGCCCGTCACGGAGTGGATGGAAAAGAGAAAGAAAGCCCGTGTTGTTTTGGCATTCTGACCGCACAGAACAGTGGGACCGTCGTCAGATAAGCCAACAAACATGATCCATGGACTGAAATGTGCACTCGCTATCCTAACATTTGGGAACAGAAGGATTTAGATTCAGATGTGTTTGCAAGTTGGGCACCGTGGAATTACTGTACTGTACACATAATTATGTTCATCATGGCGCTGAAGCTCGTTTTGAATTCACAAGACATCTCCTGTGTTGCAGGTTTGCGACCCTTTTGCTTATGCTCACATACCTTCCAAGGGGAATCCAATGTACTATACACGACCTGTGGATCTCCATCGAGCACGCCTTTTTTCGGGTTCATGGTCAATTGAATCGTCAGCGAACAGTTGGAATGTCCACAAATTGTTGGTTGGTGATGGTCTCGACCATCATCCGATATAGGAGAAAACAAACATAAACAACCTGATATTAAGATGCGCTCGAAATGCCGGGGTTTGGTGCCGGCCACACCCAAGTTGGGCACCAGATGGAGTCATCATGACTCAACCCCCCCTGTTGAAGCACATGGACACGTTGGAGCATTCAAGCATCAGTTATAATTACCCATTAATGAAATTCAAGAGTCGATGAGAACCGGGTTTAGCTTCATGACGTTTACAAAGGCTCTCGTATATAATTCTGCTTCTTTCAACCGGGTCTAGTTTGGGGGAGTGTGCGAAACCAACGACCAGTGCAGGCCGTTCGTGGCTAAGGACTCAATCCCATTGAGGAGGTGCTGGAGGGGCAGAGGGGTGATGGAAAAGACTCAGAAGACATTGGAGATCATTGGAGATTGATAGCATCCCAACTGCACAACGGGAGAGATATGAGGGGAACATAGGGGAACTGCGATCACTTTGGAGGATTTTCTGGTCGTATCATTCGTAGAATCCGTACTTGGCGCAGTGGTTTGAAAAGCAGACCTTTTGCCCACGAACGTCGTTGAAAGTGCCCGAGACTCATGAACGTCCCAGACCGATCTTTGGGACCGATCTGGGGCGCCAAGCGAAATGCAGGGTCGTCAGACGGTCTAGAGTCTAATAGATGAATGACAAGAGCGTTTTGGGTAAGCACATCCACGGCTGTGCCTCTTGTGTAACAAGCGGGTTGAAGCAGACTTGAGTGGAACACTTGCTAAGTTCTGAGAGGCATTGTGGTTGAAGTCTTACATGATGTTATTTGACTTGCAAGGGTTAAGATGTACTGGTGTTAATTGCCAAGTTTCCTGAATACAAAAGATAATGCACAAAGCCTTGTGCGGACACTTGGTTATAATCTCATTTGACTCAGACCTTCCCAACTTCCACTTTCTCAGCCGTGCGCGTGCTTCTGCTCATCACTCGCATCGTGGACGTTTGAGACCAGCCAACTACGGTGAAGTCGCAGCCCACAAGGGTATGGCACCGCGCGCACCGTGCCGGGTCATGGCGCCCCATTTTTGCGCAGGGCAAGGAGCTGCACAGCACCGCGCTGAACTACTTAGTTTTCCTACGGAACTCCAGGCGGGTGCGGACTTCTCAAGAAGTGGCAGGTCCGGATCTGGAGAGTCTGAGGGATGGTGGTTTCCATCCTCCAGGAGATCTAAGGGTCCCGGTGGCGGGGTTGGGTCGTTCGTGCCCCAAATTGGCTCCTTTGGGGAAAGAGCGCGCAGGCGCGGAAAAGAAGGACGCACACACACATTAAATAAACAATGAAACAATACATATAGCATGCCGTAGAATCCGGTAGTACAATTGTTCTTTCTTTTGTTGAGATATAGATAGCTTTCCTAATGAAAAATGAACACCTCCAGCGGTATGCACCGGACTTTGGAGTTTGATGATTGAAGCGTGTTTCTAACGGGAGCTGGATTCCATGCGGTTCATTGAAACGCACTTTGACTAAAAAGTCCAAGCCTCTCGAGATGGACTGCGAACACTTCAAACGTTTTCAATCTTATGAGCTTTCAAGATGCGTTCTTGTAAATATCTAAATATAGGTTTGGATCATGAGGAGGTGGGTAACATGCTAATATATAACACCTTTGTTTCGAGAGATGCACTCTTTGTTCAGCAAGCATCTTGGGTATCACTCAAGATCTCGAGTGACGATCGAGGGTTTTAGACAGAACTTTACAGGAATCCAACTATACCCAGGCAAGTAAGGTCGCAAGAGGAAACCAGGATGCAGCCGGCGGGCGCAACGGGGGAACCTGGAGCAGTACTGGTAGTCCTTCGAATATCCGCGAGTGAGTGCACCTGCCGGTGGAGGCTTCTAGGTAAGTGCGCACAGACATGGGCTTTGTGTGGCTGACAACAACGAAAGAAGGGATCTCATGAAGCAAAGGTCTTCACCACTGTCCGCCTTGTGTTCAGAACTTGCTGCCCTGAGCTACGAGACGGGGTACGTTTCTGCGCCGCGACATCGCGCGCGAGACATCGCACGACACGCCGAAGCGGCCATCGTCAGGGATATGTTCCTGAGCTTGACTGCCGTCTCTTTGCTGATTGTGGTGCCAGCGCCTCCCTTGCAAATGGAGGGGCTTGTTGGGCTTGCCCATGTTTTGTGACTCTAAGTAGGAATGCGTTATAGGGTGAACCACTTTACTACGGCCACAGCCCGAAAGCATCAAGGATGAAGGTGCCCTGGAGGATGAACCAACACCTCAATGGATTACAGCTTTGGGGCCTGGTAGACTAGTGGGGTACCAGCGATTTGTAGTATGTAGTTTTAAGTGTCTTCTTGGGAGATGGGTGACAGGGATCATAAATGGGGTCAATGGATGTACAGTGGTTTCAGAGGTTCGATGGCGCAAACCTCAAGATGTCCTTGTTCGATGGGGGTCCATATTGACCACCTCTGGGGGATTGTGCCACCCGCCAGGACCCCTTAACCTCTAACGGGCTATCAATGGAAGCCCCTTAGGGTGTCTTGGTATGTATATACTCTAGAGAAACCACTGCAAACCACTCCATGCATGGATGCTATGGGGACCATGAACCTCGTGCCCCGAGCACGTGCGCGGTGCCAGAAACGTGGATTTGTTGGGGGGCATCCACATCTGTTCCTGGACACCGCCGGGGACTGGCACCCAAAACACTCCGTGTATGGAATACGTACAATATATATATTGTACCTTCAAGAAGTCCTCAGGTCCGGATGCTGACGTCCGTGTGTCGGATTTCTGCTTTGGATTCGCTTCTCTCCCATCCAAAAACGGCTCGAAACGGACCCCAAACACCCCAAGCACCCCAAATCGGAACTGTCTGAATTGTTTTGACTTGATTCCCTTGTAGCTTTGAGTATGTCACGACTCACAGGCCGTGGAAACCTCACTTGGTTTTCTTTGTCTTGCACCCTTGAATCGAGAGGGTCTATCAGCTGTGGATTGGTGCAATCTTCAAATCCCTCAAATCCTATTCTCATATATTCCCATCACTCTTGAGCTATTGGACCCTTTGTTTTGCCGACCTACCTCCCATGTGCGCTGCTGCATGCAGACGAGGTGCTTGGTCGCCAAACCTTTCTTTTCGGTCGCTTGGATGGGATTTGTGGCACGAAGACCAAGGTTCTGCCATCATTTCTGCTCTGGAGTTCCAGTCAGGGCTGAGGATTCCCCATCGGAGTCTTCTGTGGGAACCACTCAGGGTTCCTCACTTCGAATCTGAACCCTCGTCAGAACCGCATGTCATTCGGTTTCCCCATGTCATCTCCCTGGTTTCATCGTTCCGTCGAGCTGGGTGGCGAAGGAATGACCGCTCTGAACAGTTCCCTACAGCACCTGGAGAGATGATTTGAGCCAAGTTCTTTTGGGAGTCCCTATATTACACAATTGCCAGGTCCTGTAGTGACTTCAAACCCAGGGGTGAGGTTAGGTCACTTGGAAGAACCAGGGGTGAAGTTACAGTATATCATTGATCATGTTTGATCAGTCTGTGCAGAGGGTGTGAGGCTTGGAGCATTGCAAGGTTTATTGCCCAAAGAATGCGCGAAGCAGATGATCGGCCTTTCTTGCTTCCACTAGAATGGAAGACACATTTCAAAGTCTTTAACACATTAGGCATCATGAGCCACTAGGCCAATGATTCTGAGTTCTCATTACCGTCTCATACTGACTTCATGAGGTTCAGCTAGACCATGCCCATTCCGCTCCGGACCCCCGCTGGGGACAGCGCGGTGCGGCACATCAAAGGCTGCTTTGATGGCCCAATTTCTCTCATGGAGGAGTGCCAGGGTGGACCCAAGCAAGTCTGGGAACCGCTTTGCCGCTCTCTGGCCGGACCATTCTCGTTGCTTCACAGGCACTCTTGTTGCGATGCACACGGTTCGTGTGGATCATGATCGCATCCTTGTAACCATGCTTTTGACGCAACGACCTACCATAGTTTAGAGAACAAACATCAAAACTGCCGGTTGGAAAAACAAAACAGAAAACAATGAAAAACACTGCCTTCTAGTATAACCGAGTGTAACCTTTGCTAGTCGCTTTTCAGCAGGTCAGTCAAGGCATGGTCAGTCCTTGTATCATATCTTAGATCAAAATCCCCTACGCCAAGAAAATGATGGGCTTTATCCGTGAAAAAACCAAGAAAACAGCATCAACCCCAAATTGAGGTCCAGTTGGCCCTAGCGAACACTGGATGCCATTCAGCAAGTCATCCATTAAGTTACCCCAGAATTCCAAAGCTCTCAAGAAGCGCCATGTGCAATGGGTCACACCTGGCTAGCTCACCATCTATGGGGGGTGCCCCATTGCCATCACTGAAGAACATGGGCCCCCAACTACCTCCACCGAGCGAGGTAGTTGACGTCATTAACAGTGCTTTCACGATTCGTGCAGGGACCAAACACCTTAAACACCGACACACCACGCCTCCCCTCCCTTTTCCTTGTCGACTCAGTCGACTCAGTTGACGGCCCGGTGGTGACGGGTTTCTGGCCCGCTGGAGAGAAAGGATTTGAGACTTTGAGATTTGCCTTTTTGCTGTGCCTGTTCGGAGACAACTGGGAGGTCTCTCGTCATTCTGTGCCTCGTCCTATCCGACTTTTACTGATTCTGGCACGAGGTTGAACAGGTGAAGCATCTGGATGTGCAGGTCCTAGGCTAGGGGAGGCCCTCAACGGAGGCGTTTCTACTCGCGAGTGGTCACGACGTCGTAGAAAACACTGGTCACGGTCACTGCATAGAATCTTCCTATAGTAGTCTTCCTGTGATCAACCCCCTTCCCACCAGGATGGGAAACTTCATGTCCCTCCAGTGCTGCTTGACCAGATGCCCTACGGGTCCTAGCACGGTAAATACAACAGGCATCAATGGCCTACTGGCCAGGACAGCTGCTCCCAGCGTTCCTAGTTCAACGATCAACGATTCCAAACACATCTAAGGGCACCTCTCCAGTGTTCCGCGTAAGCACCGCGCGGAACCACTATCGCGGTGCTTCCGCAAGCGGCCTCGCGCAGGACGCCAGTCCCATTAAGCTGGGCATTGTTTGCCTCATCGCAGCTCGGTCGAGACGGGTGAGATCCGATCTGCTGAGCGAAATCGTCCGTTGGGAGCTCGAAGGATTTGAAGCACTCTGGAGGGAGCCATGGCTGCGAACATCTACTATCATCCACTGCATGGCAGGTTTTTTTGGTGTGTTTCTCATGCATCACTTATAACAAAGATGCGTGGCATAGACTTGCATCGACTGCTTGAAATTCAATGCACTGTATTCATGCACTTGATGTAATGCTTGTAGTTACAATGTATACTACTCCCTGCTTCTGAATGTGTTGAGGACTTGCATCCGTCCCAGGACCCACCTCTTGGGCCCCCATGGGCAAACCTCGATGACAGAAGCACCACGACCTGCGAAACGCACCACGGTTCCTTCGTGGTGCAGCACCGAGGGGTCACCCCCGGTTCCGGTTTTGGTGGAGATGGTCCAAACGTCGAGGGTCCCCGTGCTGCAATCTTGAGGTCAAGGTATCAGAAAAGCGTCCATCTTAATGAGGGAAGCCTAGAAGCTCGCTCCAGGCAGCTGGCAGCTCGCACTGTAAGTCACTCTCACCTTCGTCCACCTGAACACCAGGCATTGACCCATGGCCTCATCGTCCTAGTCTTCACCTCGCGCTTCAACCACCACTGTGCCATGGGCCATCGCATGTATGCGGAGCGCTGCGACGCGCGCGCGCGCGTTGGGGTGGCGATTGAGGGACGGACTCCGAAGGACCTCTTGGACCCCGAAGTCGTGTCCAAGTCATCGTAGCTGGCTATAGGTTTGAGTCTTCCTGAGTCTTTTTGCCCCATCCCAGACATTCGCAAAAAGGGTTGATTGGTCAAAAGAAGGCCACTAGGATCCCCACCGACAATTCTCTCCTTCGAACCCACTTAGGGTGATTGCTCTTGACCGTTTGTTTAATAGACCATAATTTATTAAGTTGTGTTCACTTAGCGTTCGCCGCCGTGCTCAGACCAACGGATTGTCACGAGACTTTACGACTTGATGAGTTATTCCCTTTGATGCCGCCTGCACGTTTGGAACAAGTGGCCTTTACAAAGGCAAGTTTACCTTTAAATTGCATTTTTATGCATTGTGTTCCTTTAACATCTTTAAAACGGCAATTTTACCAACATATAGGTGGAAAATTAGATCCCGACAGCAAACGAGCATAAGCCAATGCTCGTCTTACTGCTTTGAAACATTTTTCTTGGTTTTACACGGGCCAATGCAGAATCTTGAGCACACCGCCCAAGCCCTCCCAAGCGCAATTGAGTTTGCTTGCTATTTCTTCGACAGCAAACTTCTCCATGCACAGCTAATCTCTTGGCAGGAGGACTTCGACTTGATCAATCGCACCGTTTGGCTGCTTGGTCATCAGCTGCAGTGGTCCGGGAATGCAGAACTTTTGCATCATCCACCAGGTCTTCCCATGTCTAAGACAAACCCCCTGAAGTCTAAGACACTCACCTCTTTTGTGGGACATGTGACCTGAGACAACAAGCCATTGCTTTTAATAAATAGTGGAAGTGCAGCTACCAGCCATTGCTCTTTGTGGATTTGCAAGGGGGGAGATTAATTAACAAGATAATACAACATGCATAACGTACGATTAATAAACCTGCTTAATCAATCCGAGCCCACAAAGCCTCGGAAAATTGCTCAAGTTATATAAACGTATTATTGGTGGCAAACGTACCCCTGAATCACCTATTGGGCACTAGAATGCCCCCATTAATCCGAGCCTACAACCAGGTCAATTTGTCTTACTACTACTACTACTGCTGCTACTACTACCACCACAACTACTACTACTACTACTTCTACTACTACTACTACTAATTCTACTACTACTACTACCACTATTACTGCCACTACTGCTACTACTACTACTCCTCTTACTCCCACTCCTACTCCTACTACTCATACTCTCATACTCTCATCTACTCTCCTACTCTCCTACTCTTTTCCTAGCAGATTTTTCAGGGGAGGTGGACCTCAATAATGAATGGTACCTCAGACCTCCTGGACCTTGTTGACCTTCCACGTGGCGCGGGTTCGCATTACTGTTTATGCTGACCGCAAACCATTAGTTTTCAATGATTTTCCAGTTTTCACTACCCATTTCATCCCCTTCCAACTTCTTAAAACACCAAGATTCTCCAGAATTTGATCCGTTTCTTGCCACCGAACAAGCCTGAAGTCAGCCCATTTGCACTCAGCGCAAGGTTGACGCATTTGCCCTCCGGAGATTTCCAAACCCGCGAAGCCTGGCGCTTGAACAATGAGGATTTGCAGCAAGCACCTTGCCGCGAGAGCACGAACACCAGCTGCATGAAAACGATGTTATTTTTTCGCGGGAAAAAGCTCCCTTCTTGAACTGGAGCCGCTTTCGGGGAATAATTTGAGGGAATCGACATGATTGCCCTGAAATTGATGGAACTTAATGCATGACAAGGGGCAGACTGGTGAACTGCAAAGCATCAGCCCAAAAGAAAGGACCCCAAGCCGAGGCAAAACATGTATCAACCACTTCAGAAATCAAGAAGCAATACCCAACGAAACAACCATTGTTGCCATGACCCTAAAGTGGCAAGTAGTGGCAAATAGAACACTCATCACAACACCTGAAGTTCTTATCATGAATTCCCCTACCAGCGATGCTCCAAGCCCAGGGAGCCTGGGCTGCAGGGGAAGGGAATTGCTGCTGTTTGGATGTTTTGGATACCAGAGGTTTGCAGAGGTCAAGAGCACTAGGAAATCGAGGGGTTTTGGCCCATGATATCTGACATCCCAGCAAGCCACCGGTCCCTTGTTCGCGGGTCCCAAGCAAAAGGGAGCCTTTGGTTGGAATCCATGATACCTGTTTTTTGCGAAGAAAAGACAACGAACTTTGGGTTTGAACTTGAACGGCCACTGGCCACTCAGGTGCAGGAGTGCTAAGCTAAGCATGGCTAGATTCCATGTTGAACATGATTTGTTTCTCAATCTTGGCATCGTTTGGAGGTGAGACGCTTTTGACCCTGAGGTGGAGCAAGACCTCAAGGAGGCAATGCTGAGTCATCTCAAGAAGGACTCAAATGAATCCATTTGGTTTGACAGCGGTTGTGCTGGCAAGTTTGGGAGTTTTCCAGCATGTTTTTGAGATACACCCTTCCATGATCGTTCCATGTTCCATTCGGAAAAGACATGTGGGACCGCGTGGGGGGTTGAGTTGGGTGGCAGCAACGACAGTTGGATGGGCGTCATTCGTGTGGGTGGACCTGATTGCCTTGGATTTGCCCGGGGCCCTATTTGATGGTCCTGATTGGTTATTGTCCAGGTCCAGGTCCTGCAAGCAAACTCATTCGATTCTAATTATATATAGTTCCTTTTGGTTCATCTCAGAACGAGGCGGACTTCCAGGGAGTCGCTTTCCACAGGAGTTGTTCAATTGATGGACAAAACCCAACTCTTCTGCTTTGGAACTATATGAATAAAAAACTTTCATATGGTAAGGCCAGAATCCTTGATTAAAAAAAAAACAAGTCGAAAACAAGTCCAAAAAAGTCAACTGGAAAAGTCAAAGTCAAAAAAAGACAAAAAAAAAGGCAAACATAAAGTCAAAAAAGAGCCAACCATAGACCACAGCTCGAAAAGGTCAAAACAAAGTCAAAAAAAGTCGAAAAGATATGTCAACAAAGGTAAAAAAAAACAAGTCTAATTCAAAAGTCAAAAAATAACGTCAACCACTCGAAAAAGTCAAACAAAAAAGTCGAAAAACGTCAAACACAATCAAAATCAAGTCGAAAAAAACAAAGTCGAAAAACATGTCAAAAAAAAGTCGGATCTGGGCAAATTAACTTATTTTTACTTTCTGAAATTTTATGATTTGTTTTTTTTAATTTTGACTTTTGGGATTGACGTTTTCTTGACTTTTTTGACTTAAAAAGAAACATACAAAACAGGCTCTTTTCAATGAAAGTTTTTTATACCACTATATTGCTCTGTTTGATTGAATTGAAAACATTGGTCATCCGTTGTACTGGCTCGCCGGCCAATCCGTGAAGCGGACTGTGCAGATTGGACTGAAACCACATCTTTGGAGACAGTCAACTGCGGAGACCCTGTTGCAACCGGACCGGTTATCAAGATGGGAGAGTGCAGTTGGTATGGTGTTTGTTTCTTTTGAGGTGGGCCGGGTCTCTCAGAAATCAACTGATTGGAGCACCATCCATGGCCAGAGTCTTTTTCTGTTCGTGGCGAGGAGTGGGCCCAAGTGGCCCAAGCACTGCAAGGAATGTCAAGAGAAACAGAAGACAATGCAGCCAAACAACACCCTTGTGCCAAACAGCACCCAGCTCACCCAGCACAATCGAGCCTTCCAGTCCCCCCAAAACCAGGTTTCGAGATCGCTTTTTCAGACAGCTATTGGCTTCGTTTTACGCAGATGTTCCTATCTTACATATGCCTGGGACTCTGGAGGGAGGACTCCGTCCTCCCACCCGCCAGGAGCTCCCGAACGTGGATCTGTCGGAGGCCATCGAGGCGGTGCATGTGACGCCCGTGCCGCGGCCGAGAGGGAACGGCCAGGGGTGGTGCCAGGGTCAATGGGGCGGCAGTCCTATGGCAGTCCCATGGAGTGTTTGGGAGGGGTTGAACCCCCAAAACCACTCCCAATGTATGGATTCAGCCAGTCCCATGGGTCGTGTTGTCGTGTTTGGGTGTCTTGGTGCACGGAACGCTCCGGCCGCGGTGGATCGGTGATTCCGTAACACCGACACCGACACCGACACCGACCTGTCCGTCGTGTGGGGTTGGAGCCTTGATCCATCTTGATCCTTTCTCCGAGACTGTGCAGCTTCCAAGCAGTTCAACTGGGCTCGGGGGCGATCAGCCTTGGCAGTGACATGATTACAGGTCAGGGTGGTTCTTGCAGTTAAACATGGAACACGCGTGACAATCGAAAGACTCACGTGACAAGCTCCTTAAATGAGACATTGTGATGAGTGAAACCTTCATGGCTTCTGAATTCCAAGTAGATGCCATTGAACTTTTGAACATCATGGATTTGATTCTTTATGGGCTGAAGCAGTTTGTCAGCAACGACAGTTCGCAAATGTCACTATGCGGGGCGGGTCACGAAGTAAGAATAGAGTCAGAGTCAAAGTTCTGTCGAATCATCTACCGCCATCAGTGGCTAACCTTCAAGCATCTTGAATGGGTTTTCCTACTGCAAAACGCGGCAGGTGTCAAAAACGAGAGGAGACCAAGGGTCGGTCACATCAAGGGTCAGTGCCATGGGTTTCCTCAGTGGATCACCTGCAGGAGATAACGGGGCTCCCAGCACCCCACTCAACAGGTGGAGTTGGTCCGGTCTGTGCAAACCAGATGCTGAAGGTCTTTGTCGGTGATGCAAGCCAATCAAAAGCTGGAAACACAGGTGAACACGTTGCTACATTGGCACACCAATTAATGTGGCAGAACACTTCCCAAGGGAGTGGTTCGTGGTGCTCGGCCACTCTTTTTGCACTCTGAGTTGCTCAAGATTGTTGAGATTTTGCTTGATGGCTGTTCACAACACCTCTCTACATGGCGCTTTGCCGTTTCGGTCTGTTTGTTTTCTTCATCCGGGTCGGCCTTCTTAGCGTTCTTCTTCATGTTTTGTACTGCGACCAGCGTGTCCTCAGTAACCAGCCAACTACTATGTTGACGGAGACGCGCACATATGGGTGAACAGTGTGGGCCATCACCTTTCTTTTTCGATCGGGACTACGGCCATAGGTCCGTCTCGGGACGGTGGTAACGGCTCGGGACTGTTCGAAACAGGTCCGTTTCGACCGCTGCCCGCCTAATTTGCCCGGCTGCCGAAGCAATCCCGAGAGTCATCCCGAGAGTCGCCCTAGGTGGTAACAGAGTGGCACCACGTCGTGAACCAAGTGAAGCACTATGAGCCTCAGCAAAGCATGCAAAGCTGCACAGTGCAGGTGGATGAAAGCAAGTGAAATCAATGGGAATGCGATTGGACACGGTGTCCACTTTTGAGTGGATGTGCTTTTCTATCCATTTTGTGATCATTGTATATCATTATAACTTGTTTTCATTGTTTTGAGTCCAGCCTTGCTCAGAACATTTCTTTTGGATTTTTCCACTTGGACATCCACAACACTCATATGCAAGGCCCACCAATCCAACTATATAGATACATCTTGAACAAGTTGTTGAAGATTGATTGATCCCTTGTTGTGTGGCGGTTCCGCACTGTCTGGAATAAAATGATTCGAAGCCCATGGCACAAGGAAATTAATTGTTTCGCTGAGGTCCCTTTTGTTTCGCTGAGGTGAATGCATTTGGATCTTTGAACAGTTTTTTATTTTTTGTGGCGACAGCTTCTGAGACACTGCTTCTGAGACATGTTCGGGTCCTAAAATCACTGTTTTGTGGTGCCAGCAGGAATGCAGTTACTTGCGCACAACATTGATGACCCAGAACAAAAGTCAAGCTCATTTCGAGTTCATACCCACAAGGCTTTGAGAAACAATGCCCGGGCATTACATACAGGTACCAGTTGTTGCTTTGGGTTGTACTTGTAGTTCTTATGGGAACATCGGGGAATGACTTCAATTTTTGCACAAACATTGAAGACGGCATGTCCTTTGTTTCAGTACTTGCCTCGCTTCCAACGCCCGGGCCGTTTCGCTGCGGCACGCTCGCGCGTTCTCGGCGTCCAGGAAGCCGTTGCCCAGCACTATGCGCTCCGGCTAAGCTTCTCTCGGCGCAAGTGGCTTTGGCAGAGAGGGTCCGTCCGGGGCATATGGACCAGTCAGTTGGGGATCATTGGGCCTTTTGGGGTTATTTCAAGGGTCAATGTAGTTACATGATATTTTGTGATTCCAGTGCCCTGGAGTGTCAGGGTTTGGATGAATTGCGGCGTTTGGTGATGTGGAGCCTAGTAGCCTAGACTCTTGTTTGTCTCAGTTCCTGCTCTCCTGCTTCCTCAGGAAGTTTGACAATGTTTCACACCAACAGGCCGGCGGCCACCAGGTGTTTGTTAGGCTTGCAGGTTTGGCATTGTCGCCCACTTATATAGACAGTCTAACGGAACTTTTCGTGCTTCAGACAGCCGTTTGGTCCAGCCAGCAGCCTAAAACATGCATCGAATAAACAGGTGTGCCCACAAAAAAACGGTCAGACCAGCCCTGCAAACATACTGCTGGCTATTCTCGGTGGTTCTCCCAATGTGAAGGTGTTGAGGGCTTGAGCGGTTCAGCAGGCAGTGGTGGAACATGTCGATCAAAACCTTCGACACCCCACCATGCCACCATGCCACCATCACACGGTCTTTGCTCAGCTATATAGTAGCAGCCGATGTATCAGACTGTATTTAATTATTGTATGATAGTGTATGATATAGTGTCAGAAAGGCCTTTGCTCTTGTAGGTGCTTTTTTCCCGGACACGACGAAGTGCACCAATCACACATCGGCACATCGGAGGTCCATCGCCAAGGTATTCCTTGCGGGTACGTGAGAGGCAACCCAATGTCCTCGGCACAGAAAAGGCACGGCACCCGCGGAAAAGGCACGGCGCCAAACGCACTCCAAAACATTGAAGGTCGATCACGGTGCAAATGCAAGGTCTTCCTTTGGGCACTGAGGGAGGCCATCCAGCGGTGCTCAGGGAATCTCCGACTCAAACAACTTTTGGTCATCTCTTGCAATGTCCGACTTGAACTGCTGGCATGAAGAAACCTTGCCACCAGACCAACCCAAGAAGCGAGAACCCAACGTGCTCGTACAGCACCAGCTGTCACAACGACAATGCCCGTGCTGATGTGAATGCAGCCTACTGGCTGCAACGAGCACTCATCACTCACGGTTTCCCAGCTTTTGACAATAGCCTGTGCTGCGGTGGGAACAATGACACAAGTAACTCCTGCCGTACGCCAATTGCAGCAATTCAAACTTGGAATGCATGCTTTGGGAGAATGTGCTCGTTCAAGTTCATTGTCATGTAATCTTTGTCATAGCTCATGTGCCATCTTCTTTTGGCATTGTAGCACTGGGCATTGAATGGCCATGGTTCGTGCCTCTCATGTGGAACCCACGAGGCAAAGTCTAGGCACGGTCCTCCTCCTTACTCTAAGGGAACATGAAACGATATGAAGTTACCCAGACACTCCATGTATGGAATTGTATGGAATAACTATGATTACATTGACCCCTGAAACCACCCCAATGTATTAAATATGTTATACATAGAGTGTGCGGGTTATGTTATAATATACTTCATGTTTCTCCAGCAGTTTGGGATTATATTCACAGTTGGTTGCGGGCCAAGCTATGGTCTTGCGTTCGTCGCCCCTGGTAGACCAGCTTGTGCCATCTATAGGTATTGGTTGAGCAGCGCCAAGGCGTTTTTGCCAACCCCTGTGGCAGATCGAGCAGTGGTGGTTTGAGAGGCAGAAGGAGCTTTGCTACGGCTCCTTGAAGCGGAGGGGTCCCGAGCTTGTCGCCCGCCGTTCCTTGAGATGTTCGACGTTTCACTATTGTGTGCACGTTTGACTTTGTTCTTGTTCCATCTGTTTCCCTCTTTGGCATTTGATGATGAGGTCCCTGAAGTTGCCCACTCAAGTAGTATCTCATGTTTGGATCTCGACGAGTTAAGTCACTAACAACTTGATGACGATGCAACTTGTCAGCTTTGACCTGGCCTTAACGCCCTAGTTCTGACAAAGGTTTTTTCTCCTTCCGCGGCTGAGCAACTAGGGTGGGAGATACCGTACTCCATAATGTACAATTTGTATACTCCCGTACTCATGACATGCACCTTTTCCATGTGCAACAAACCACATGAGGTGCAACAACAAAGCCATGTTGTTCCGAGATGCAGTGCCATCCCGGGAGCTCGAGAGCGAAGGCACATTTTTTTTGGTTGGACCAACCAAGAATGCATGGCATTCATTCCATGTTGGGATGGGCTTTAGATCTAGCCCCAGTGAGTGGATAGTGTTCTGGGAGTTGCTCTGGGCACTCCTACCTGACCTACCTTACAAGAGGTAGCCCAGTTAGGTACACTTTTGGAACCACTGGTGCGTACCAGAGGCATTGGTGGTGTTGAGTTGGAACGCCCTTCCACTGGTTGACCGCTGGTCTTTTTCAGGACGGGTGGAAAAGCTGCGAGAAGAGCAGACAAAACACATCTATGGCCCCAAGATGCTGTCAGGCCAGCACTGACGATTTGACCTTGGACCATGTCCTAGCACCGGTTTTGGGGGCTCGAGCCGAAACTGAGTGCGGGTGAGGAGGACCAAAACTCCTGCCCTGAGAAATCTCAGAACTTGAATAAAGACCAAAAGGATCTGGAAGTTATGTGGTACTGCAGGTTTTTTAAGCAAACCAATGCCAGTCCTTGGAGCAGAACAGGCCTGACTCCGGCCTGACATGCGTTGGCTTGAGGGAGGGGTGTGTGTGTGTGTGTGTGTGCAGCGTAGGGCGTAGCACCTGATGGAGAAATATTCCGAGAGCTGCTGGATTGCACTTGAGCCACTGTGTTGCTGTAGGCATTTTTGGAGGTTTATGTGGAAATTGGTGGTGCATCGAGCTACTCCACCGGAGGCGTTCTCAGACCCATAAAAAAATCTTATATATACTGGGCGTCTTACAGACACCCTACAAAACCCAGCTTAGCACCGCGGTAATAGTAGTGGGCCATTCAAAGCACAACATTGGAGTGAAGCAAGAGATCTCAATAGATTAGATGTGAAGTTGTTTCACGATCCTGTGCGCCTGCCCGGTGCCATGGGTCAAAGCCGATTAGGGGGTAATCAATGTTGCGGTGCCAAACTATATAACCCTTTACTGTATAGATTTGTATAGGTTGCATGACTGGCTGTCCATGTGGTTTCATGACGGACCTGCTCGGAACATTGGCAAAACTCGCTCGGAGGCAGTGCCTTCGTGGTCTTCCAAAACGAAGACTTGAAGAAGTGCCTCACAGGCTTGGTGACGCCGCGCTCGCCAGGTGACGCGTCGCTCGCCGCTCGGTGTGATCGGAACATGTTTGGTTGAAGAGTTCCCACGCAACAACAGACCAAAGCGCTTTTTCAGGGAAAGGACCAAGTCTCCCACTAGTCCACTCCTTTCTATTTACTCCACGTTCGCCATGTTTCCCCAGATTCAGAGTCCCCAAGCTTGCACACCAAATGAAACCTTTTCACCACATGTGTTTAACATTTGTTTCAGTGACCGTGCGCCCCCGAAAGGGACACTCTACTCCCTACGGGTTCAGCGCATGTGCACATCAACTGGATGGGTGTCTGCTCGGAAATTCTAGCTGATTTTCCTCGCACCTTTAACGGTTGCAAATCCTCCTTCTTGAAGAAGCTTTGAAGTTTGAAGCGAGAGTGAATTTCAGAGTGATACGAAGCCACCGAGTGAAGTTTGAGAAAACCGTTCTGGGAAACCACATCGTCATTCTGGGCATGAAGCTTGTCGTTCGAACATGCGCGCGGCAGTGACAAACACAACAATATTTTTGTTTTCAAAGTACGTTTTCTGGGTCGTCCAGCAAATGCCAACGAGAGCTTTTCTTGAAGAAATCTTCCGTTTGTACAATATGGTGATGTCCTTGTGGCATCTCAAACAAGGCACCTTGGAGTCGCTACTTTGGGCCCTAGAATCTCGGGAGCACGAACTTTCCCTTTGCCTTCCCACGAGCGAACTGCCGGTACCAACGATCCGAGACGATCCGGGTCTCGCGCCAGGCAGGTGATGATCCCATTAAAAGAACGGACGCTCCATGTATGCAACTACTGTAGGCCATATTTGCTTACATGGAGCGTTTGGGAACGGTGCTACGAAAGGGACGCAGAGTGGAGGTGGACCCTGGCCACGAGCCTTCGTGCTCTTGGCCGTAGAGCACAGAGCAATCGATGGGCTCACGGAGTCTCACTGTTTATTCAGATTTGTAAAATTTGTAAAATTATTGTTATATAACACTATTTTAATACCATAATTATATCAAAAAACATCTCGAATTACAGTATATCAACAAATCTATGAGCACATACTTGCAGTGATAGGTTCCAATATGTTCCAATCATACTTGCATGACTTTGTGTGGGGCCGGGGTTTTCTATCTCCGTTTTGTGCAGGGCCAACTCCAAGCTGCTTCACCTGCCGCAACTACACCTATTGGAGGCCTGGCTCCAGCGAAGCGTGACGAAGCCCATGCCCACGCTGCCACCCGCACCACCGTCTGTTGAACCAGAGCCATCACTATTACCACCCTGGTTTGGTGTTTGTTACCTCGCAGCAGCAAACCCCAGAACCACCTCTGGGAGATGGTAGAAGACTTTAAACTTGCTGCCGGAAGTGGATTTTTGCTGGACACTTGTTGACTTCTAACGACAGACTTTGAGGGTTCACAGTGCTGAACTTGCTCCTATAGCTGTACGATAATTCGGTGTACCATCATGTAGATGGCGCAAACCCCCTTAAACCCAGGCAACAAACATCGTTCTGTCGCAGAATGACAACATCATGATCGTTCGAAAAAAACGAGCTCGTCCGTCGACACAAGGGCCGTTCGATCTATTTGTCCAACCTACCCTTGGGGGGTCCTTATGTTGTTCACATCGCAATAAGCTTCCCCCGGGGAAAAAAGGTGCCAAAAAAAATGGTTTGTCGTAATAACAAACTACTCAGTCTAAAATTAAACCTCTCAATAATAAACCTCAGACCATCTCAGACCTTAGGATTGTTGCAGTTTTTGATTATTGTTTATATATAATATATAATGGATCGAAATTAGAAAGTAAGTAAAAAAAATCTAGAACAATCAATCTAGAAAGAGTTTTATTGGCACACAAAAGAATATTTGGTATATTTTTGCCACCTAAGAGACAGTTAACATGACAGGGAGTTGTTATTGACTTTAGAGTATGCTAAGTTTATTGTTGCACACTTTTTGGCAGGTGTGTATTTTTGGGGTCTTCGTAAGAGGTGCTCATTGCCTTTTTTCAACTAAGGATGTTATACAGAATTTCTTTGTTTTGAGCTAGCTTTAAATGTTGCTTTTGCTTTTGCTGAAGCAACGTAATTGGTTTAATTAAGTGACTATTTTTAATGATGATTAGAGTAGGTTTATAGAGGAGCAAGTCAAGATTATTATTGATGCCTACCTACCAATTACGCCACACAAACTCAAAAGCAGGTTGATTATTGTAGAACATTAAGTTTACTATTTCAACCTACTAGAAACGCTGCTTTATTATTGTATAGGAGTAAGTAAGTCAAGTTTAAGGATTGTATTGTATAGACAAAGCTGTTTATAATTGACCCCCTCTCAGTAGCCCGGAGGTTTTAGGTTTATACTTATGTAACTCAGGTGATGTGAACTGTGCAGGGCTGACCCGACTCACTAAAGCTTAAGATCTAGTCCCTAGTGTCCACGCTTCGTGGCAACGCTACGTCCTTGCTTGCCGAGATGAGAACAACTTTTGGAACACAGCTGGCAGCATGGCGTTGAATTGTGCGGTGTTGAAGGTCAGCCATTGGGTTGCAACCTCTGAATTTCTGAAGAAAGTCACAGCAGTGACACTACAAAAGTGGCGAGACGAAAAAGAGATGCAAAAGAAAGACAGCAAGCTTGGTCAGTGGAATGAACACGAGCCAGTTAGTTGGACACAATGCGATGCGTGCACGACCTAGTTCATCCCTTGTGTGGTGACTGCAGCCTCATCATTGCGCTGGAGAGGAGCTCACATTGCCGTGAGCTCCGCTGCAAACGGGTTCAGAGCACAAGAGCCAGCTGCGGTGCTCAGTTGAAAGGGCATAGCGGAAACTGATGTCGCCGATGTCAGAACTGGAGTCCAAATTGCTGCAGACACATGGCATACTCTTGATGAGTACCGGGGTGTACCAGGTGTTCGCCAGGTGTCGGCATGGTGTCCCTGCGATCACTGGATGAGAGGCCCAAGAAGATGCTGGTGCTTTGGGTCAAGCCCTTGAAGGTAAATGCAGGTGATGGAATTCCATCATCACCTGCATTTATCCCTCGCCTGAGGTGATGTTTTCTATCAACATCAGGTGACGTTGTCCAACAACAGAAGAGAACCTTTGAACTTTGTTCAGCAATTGAAGCAATTGAGTGCATCACATCGTTCATCATCTCCATCCGAAAGAGCCGAGCGAGCAGTGGTTCTCGCAAAAGAGGCGCTTACCTTGCTTGCTGCCTTGCTACTGTTGTTCTTGTGTTTCCATCCGCCACTGAGGACATCGGACCACGCGTCGTTTGGGTGACCCACTTCTCATCCCTTAGCCAGACACTCCATGTATATAAAACAATATCAGGATATGTGTGTGTAATGATCATTGGCATTGCCTATAGACCCCTGACCATTCAGCACCCACCCCTCACCATTTGTTCCGTGCCCCGGTAGGGGTCTCCACCCCTCACCAGGTTTGGCCGTGCGCCCTTCACCTCCGTCACGCTGCGCTGCCTCCGGGCACCGCACCCGTCCGACTTGCCGCTCGCCCCGAGGGCGGATCAGTGGGGTGCTGGGACGATCGGGGAGCCATTTGGAAGCGCACTAGAAGGTACACTTATATATATATATATATCAGTGCACCACTATAGACTCTAGACTATAGACCACTACAAGTGGTGGTCTTAGAAGGTGCACCACTTATTTATCTGGAAACGCACTTCTATAAGACCCTGACACTCCGACAAACACATGGAAATGGACATGCCACCTGTTTGTAGAGGAACATGCTCTTCACAGGGGCCATGCAATCCACTTCCATGTTAGTGAGTCAGAGTGTAATTAACGATAGTGAAGTGGGTAAGATGTTCACTTCTTTTTTTTTGGGGGGGGACAGGTTTGTACCCCTGTATGCCATCATCCACTGAAACCTGCTAATGGGATCTATATACCCAAGATCTGGAGTTCTTCCTCCCGGTGATGCGAACTGAAGCCCCATGTACCTCCATGTTAGAGTCAGTGTTGCCTGAATTGGTGGATTTGGGGGACGGTCTTGACCCCCGCGATGCCCCACACGACGAGAAGATGACAAAGATGAACGACCCACTACTAGTCAGCAGGTCCCTGAGTCCCTGAATTTGTTTTACGCACCAATCAAGTGACCGCCTGTGAGCAGTGGTGGTTGCCTTGCAGGGGGCCATTGGTGGCCCATGTAGATCCATGGTTCGAGGGTCAGCAGCTGAAGGTCGTCACCCAGTCCTCCGGCTGATGTTGCAAAACGCGAAAGATGGAAGGCGCGAAACTGCGCAGGATCCGGTCATCGATCAAGCCAAACGAACCGGAAAAAAAGGCCGCATCCACACCACACCCAGGAAATTGATATCGCAATAGTTCACCTGAAAACAAAACATCCAGGCCACAGGGTGCCAGCTAGACTTTGCAGACAGAGAGAATACATTCAGGCATAAAAGCACGCAGGCACATGACACATGACCTGCCTACCCAGTCAGTGGATAACCTTTTAACCTTTTTTTGGACATTGGTTCCCCGAGAGGGAAAGAACAGGTGGAAACGGCTACAGATGTCAGCCTGCCTGGGCAGCTTGTACCGAGGAATTGGGACAATCTTCAGGTCACTGAGGCGAACCGAGGGGTGGATGAAGGGAGGAACCATGTCATCCTAGAATCCACACATCATGTCGTTCTTTCATGAACGGTCACGAACTGAAGGCCCATCCAGAGGACATGCTTTTAGACCAGCAAGTTCCATCCACAGAGTTCTTGTTGTTTAAGCCGGTGGCCCTGCCTCTTTGCTTAATTAAGTAGGCGCCTACTTAATTAAGGGAGAAGTTCGCTCCTAGCTAAGCTACTAGTATGGACGCCGGATAGCTCACGCTTCCTTGAAGAAGCTCTCGCACTAATGATTTGGCTCCTAGATTTTTAGGGGAAACTTGTGTCATATCACTCTACTTTACCAAAGAGTGGTGGTGGTGGTGGTTCCCAGGTTTCACCGCTTTCAGAGCACACCCACACACCAATCAATGCGAAGGCAGCAAGCGGACAGAAATCTGCCATGGAGATCGTTCAGTCCTTTTCCTCCGACTTCGTTCATAAAACCGCCCAGCAGTGATCTCGAGTGATCTCCACACTCTCTGAACCCGCGAACCCGTGAGGCGCGGAGGAGATTTGGCTACATCACTGGTCGGCTTTTCCTGATGCTCTTTATGACCCTTGGATCGATCGTACCGGTCGCCGGTCGACCGTCTTAAGGAAGACCGTTTGGCATAGAATGAGAGTGTTGTTTCATGAATGTACCCTTAAACAAGACGACGTTCCTCTTGAAACAGGAGGATTCCACTTCCATGTTAGCAAGTCAGAGTAGAGTAGAGTTTGTTCATGCTTTTTCCGCTTTTGGTGTAAGTGCAAGGCTTGTAGGGTGCTGATTTGGGTCAGAGCACGGGTCATCCATGGGCTATGCGGATGCTGAAAACATGCAGATGAACTCACAAAACCTGCCGTTTGTGTGGGTTGATGTTCATTTATGTAGGTAATATATATATATATATAGATAGGCATGTCCTACTATACTACTGTATACCTTTTTTTTTGTAGGACTGTTGTCCTGAGGAAACTCGAGGGAGTTCTCTTCATTATCAAGAGTTCATTTTTGGGCCAGCTGTGCACTCCTGGCCTTTGTAGGAGCTCTTTTCTTTGGGCTTTGTTTGTTCTGAATGGGCTGCGCCATTGGTCAACTGCCATCAGTGACATAACAGGGATGAGTTTATCTTTGTTTTCTGGGATTTTCCCTTTTCAAAGGCCATGAACGATCGACACGGGGATTTCGGAGCATGTGTTTTTCCCATGATCTTATGTAGGGTGGGGGGGATGACTGGCACTTGATAGCGTCACCCCATTGTATATAAGAGTGAATTGAGATATTACTTACACTCCCTGGAACAAACATGGGAGTGTAGCATGGCGCCATTTTCCTCTACAAAAAGTGGGGGTTTCCACTTTCATGTTAGTTCCACAAGAGGGTTGCTGTGGGACCGGACGATGGGTCTGGGAGGACACCGAAATTGGTCATGCACTCCCTCAAAGCATGGAAGTGGCTGGCACGGGCCCTTCATCTTTGACCATGTTCCGAATACCAAGGGTGTCGGCACTGAATACGGATCGCGTGAAAGCAATGAGACTGGTGACAGCAAGGAGTTTCTACGTGTTCAGCCTACGGCCCCATGCCAGCCCACTCAGGCTGGTACTGGTGACGCCTGTGGCGGTCACATCTCAGCTGATGCTTGGTGCAAAGAAACGCATGTTGGATAACATGATTCGCTATTAGGTTGGAGGCCATCGCTAGTCGGTTGGAGGCCATGGCCATCACTAGGTTGGAGCCGAGCCTAGCAGAAAGCTCGCGACTTCCCTGAGCCAAGCTCACACTGCTACATTCTAAATTCCAGATGCACGGTACAGCCTTAATTTAGTAGGTTAGCAGGAGGATAGCTCTAACTCTTACTCGAAACTTCAAAACCACTAGCGGCAACTTCAGCAGCATTATGTTGAAAAAGTGGGACTGTTCATCATCACGTATAACTTCCTTAGCGTTCGAACCCATCCGCAAATTCAGGACAATACTTCTATACAATATTGTGCGGGCATCATTCCGGGCCAGACTGGTGCATGACTTTCTCCACAGACGTCCGTGCCCCGGGTGTTCCGTGCAGTGAAAACTGCACGAGGAATTTGATCCTCCACATCGTGCAGCAGCACGCAGATGCCTTGGTAACTCAGCTGTGGATGAGATGGCTTGACCCAGCAGAAGTGTGAGTGGTGATTGAATGGCTTTGATGGCTGGGTTTGACTCAAGATGGTCCATAAGATGGTCCACTTGGGTCTCAACACTTACAAGCTCCAGCCTCTATGGTGTCCAGGTTGGTCCATCTCATGACCTTCCAGGTGGTCTAGGACCACTGTGAACATTGAGACTGACCATGACATGTTCACATGTTGGGTGACAACATGCGACAACCTATCACCCCTGAAGTGTCCCTCCCTGAAGAGAAGTGCCATGAGCACCGACACAATCCTCCATTCGCAGCTGAGTAGCTGATGCAGCTGCTCTCCAGCAGTGCACCAACTAAGGAGAAGCGCTTGAGCCATGTTTGGTGGTGGCAACGCTTCATGACACTCACCGGTTTCAATGCAAAGTGCCTCAGAATTCATTCAATTGTGCAACGGGACGTTCTGGCTTTTAGCCGGCCAAGCTGATGAAGTCCTATTATATGAATTTGGAAGCGATTGGAAGTCACCGATAGCTCGATATAGGTGCATTTCAATTTGCAGTTCTTTCTCAGGGAGCTTGGAAGATGACACTTTGCTTCGAGGGTGCGTTAAAACAACTTTCACATAGTGAGTGCTCAAGATCACCGGGTAACAATAAGCTTGCTCTCACAGGCTCACAGAAGAAACGACCCTTTCCGATTTCAGGTCTTCATCCCAAAGTCTTCATCCCCAACCCCCACCCGAAGTCCGCAGTCGGTTCGACGAAGCTCCGTGGCATCGATTCGCCCAGGTTTCAGCTCCACTCTGAGCACTTATGGGCGATGCTTGCCGAACAGGTGCCAACCATCACCCTGGTGCTGATCAATAGCCACTTGCTCCAAGAAGAGGGGCTGCTAGAAAAAAGAACGGCCCATGCTTTTTGGTGGGTCATGGGTCGTGTTTGAAAGGCCACTCGCATTTGAGGCCGCAAGAATGTGAAAGATCTCTTGTCAACAGGCCGGATAGGAATGGATAGGATATATTTTTATTTAACAGCCTCATGTTGTACCCTGAACAGTTGCAAAGTACGGACAGTTTGGATCGAAAGGGACGCCAAGTCTCAAGTACTCAAGTCTAACTAAGGGCACCCAACATTCAAACTCACACCAATCACTAGCTTCGCCCTGGGCTTCGCAATCTGTGTGATATACATGTTGGATCGTTTTGGAAGGCACGGGAAGGTTCACCATTTTTCTGATCCATGCAGCCAGAAACCTCCTGAAGGATATGTCATGTGTCACCATCGTTTTTACTGTACTCAGATGCAATTGCCCGGCAGTGGATGCTAGTTTGACATGCTTCTTGCTCAAATCCTGCAGAGGCTTTGGTGCATCATTGTGGCCAGGCAGAGCTCACAAGCTCATAAAATAACCAGCAATCACCTGGGCATGGCTTCTTGCTCACTGCAGGACATTGCTCCAACTTCGAACGACGACGCGTCCCTGAAATCGTCCGGACGGCACATTGGACGGCGCGTTGAGGTTTGTTATTGCCTCCTTTGATCTACCAGATCGCTGGACTGCAAAAGTGTGCTCAGAAGACCTATGAGGAGCATCACGGCGAGACCGTGCGGCGAGACAGGCTTTTGAGACCATGGTCGAGCCGAGTACATGGCAAGATAGAAGCAACACACTGCCATGGTGCAAGTTTCTTCAGTTCGGATTTTTAGAGGGCCCTGTGGAGATCTTTTGGGGGGCCGCGGTTGATCCAACACGCCAGTATAATACTGCACAAGTTACTGTACAGTATAAGTTACAGTATAGTATTGTATATGACTGTATTGTATTGTAAAGTATGTTGTAATATGTTGTTAGAATTTCAGGGCAGTTTAGTTTTACCACTTCCACGTTGTTGGCTTTGAAGTCAAACTCATTTTGGTCGAGAAACAAGCACCAAGTCACCAGTGAGTCCCCCCCAACTTGGCAGCTGGAATGAGATGCCGTGCTATTGGACGGTGTTCACACAGATATTGACATGTTCCATCAATTGGTTCCAACACATCCTTAGGGTCCGCGTCACACGGCATCAACACCATGAACCACCCAGATACTCTCCCAACGACAGGTCCCCCCCTGCCCTTTCCAGCTCCGTTTCGCGGGGTGACAGCGGAACCCGCGACGGAAGTGGGTGAGATGTCGAAATCCAAGGAAGACCCAGCTCCACTTGAACTACATATTCTTGGTTTCTTGGGCAGGTGAGGGATGGGGCACTCGACGACATCGGATGGGGAACGAAGACGACATGTACTGTAACGTTGTTTAACTTCTCGAAGCTCTCACTCGTAGTGACTGTAATGAGTGGATTGGGGAGAAACCAGGTGGAAAGAGGGTGGGATCCACGATCGGAGAAAGCACGGAGAAGTTGGAGCAACTGGCAGGTCCTGAGTGAAACCAACAATAAACGAAATCCACCAATGACAGAACAAAAACGGGTTTCAGGGTGAACGAACCGAAGAATGTTGGCCCTTTTTTCCGCGACCGACGGTTCACTGAGGAACTGGAATAAACCAGCCA